CCCTCCCTCCATCCCTTCTCTCTCTCTCTCTCTATATATATATATATATCACCTCTCATGCACACACACACACACACACACATCTCAATCTCTCTCCCCCTTCCTCTGCCCCTTCCCCATGCTCCTAGTACTCTTATTTTTCAAGATTATCCCCTTTTTGAAGATGATGATTATCTAATGGGTTTGATTTTGATGAAAAATATTTAGCAATATTTTTCTAGGAGGCTAAGAAAGTAAGCAAAGAACCTCTGTGAAGCAAAAGGAACTTTTTATAATTGCACGGTACTGAAGACACGGTGGTTGCAGTTGAAGACCTAGTAGAGAGAAAGGATTGGATGGACAACTAAAGTTCTCAGTTGAAACCTCCAGGGGCTCCACACAAAGGCTCCAACTTCTGTTCAGTTGGATTCCTGATTTTACGAAGGCAAGTAAACCCCACTGCTCCAAAGATGACACTCAGAGCCACCGCAGTTGCCCATGTACAGCGCCTGTATTTAAAAACAAGTACGAAGCAAAAGACAGTTGTAGTGATGAAAAGTAATGGGGAGGAAAGAAACGGGTCCATAGAGCCAGAGTCATGGGGTCTAGCTAGTGGAGTGATTGGGGATGTGAAAATAAGGATAAAAATGAGTGCAGGTGGATAGGAGAAAGATAAATGAGGCTAGATCAAAATAGAGACCTTGGCCAGAAAGCTAGAGAATTGGAGGGTATGGAGGGGAGGAAATGGAAACACCAGAATGGAAAACTACAACTACAAAGTAGGACTTAGGTTTTAAAAAATTAGAATATTATAAAAAATTAATAAGTTGAGAAGTAGCACCTACCTTTGCCCTGCTCGTGGCCTTCCAGAGGGAGCCATTGCTCCAAGGACAACAGCAGAATAAAGCGGGTCTCATTTCTGTTCCACGAAGGAGCTATTATTTTATTCTCTTCGACCAGCCCTACACACACACACACACACACACACACACACACACACACACACACGTGTCTACATAGGGCCTCTAGATGGTATCAGAGAACCCATAGTGGTAATTGGTCCTCTGGAAGCTTCAGGACCTCCTGAGGGCAGATGGGTGGTCTTCAGGGAGAACGACCACACTCACTCTGCTCTTCAGAGACTCAGAAGTTGGGAGCTGTCCCCTCCACTGACACTGAGGCCTGGGGCCCTCTATAAACTGCTTGGTCTTGACCATTGGAACGGTAAACTACCTCTCTCCTCATGTTGCTTCAAGCTGTCTCCTCACTCGCTGACCCCAGTGCTAGTAGATCCCAGGCCCTTGTCCACAAATGAGGTTCAGACTTCATCTTCTGTGCTAACCTGCTGCCTCAGTGCTGTCCGATACCTTAGCAGGCATCCACCTCTTTATAGATTGTGCTCTTGAATCGCTGTTGTCCCACATACTCCAATAGCTTTCCACAGAAGAGTTTTCCCACCTCTTCCCCGAGACAGGCATTTGGCTGGGAGATCTTGCCTCTCCCTGTCAAAGTCCTAGGGACCTAAGCTGGAGCACTGTCTTTGCCAGCGCCCTTTCCTGCATAAAACAAGTCCAAAATAGGTAAAAACCCTTGACTTTCTTCGTCTTCCTTTCCTGTCTAGTTGACACCCAGGGTGACTTCTAGGGTACTAAGACATCGAAATGCCAATGACTAAAGAATAAATCTGATTTGAATGATTTCTTAGAGGGACACAGAGCATTGAATATTTTTTAGCTTTACCAGTGCACATTTTTTAATTTAAATAACATTTTTTTCTTTTACTTTACACACTAGCTAGTTTCTCCTCCCTCCTCTCCTCCCGCCCCCTCCCCTTTCCCACCCACCCCCTCCCCATCTGCTCCTCCACCTTCTCTGCTCAGAAAAGTGCAGACTTTCCATGGGCTTGTGCAAAGCATGGCGCATCAAGTTGGGGCAGGACTGAGCTCCTACCTTTTGTCGAGGTAATCGGGCATGGACAACAGGTTACCAAAAGCCAGCTAAGCACCAGGGGGTGGTCCTGCTCTCACTGTTAGAAGCCTTACTAAGAGACCAAGCTACAGGATTGTCACACACCTGCACAGGGCCTTGCCAGTCCCATGCAGGCTCCCTAACTGTTGGTCCAGCATCCTTGAGCTCCCATGGAGCTCAGGTGATCTGTGGTTGTCCTGTCATGACCCCCTGGGTGGTACAATCCCTCCTCCCTTTCTTCTGCAACTCTCGGAGCTCAGCGCAGTGCTTGTCTGTGGATCTCTGCCTGCTTCATCAGTTACTGGATAGAGCGTCTCTGAGGGCAATTAGGGAAGTCACCAATCTGCTTACAGAAGATGGCCAGTTCAGGCACTCTCTCAACTCTTGCTAGAAAGCTTAGTTGGAGATCTTCCTTGTGGGTTCCTGGGGGTGTCCCTGAAGCCAGGTTTCTCCCTGACCCCTAAATGCCCCCATTAAGATGTCTCTTTTGTTACTCCTGAACCCAGCCCATCCAACCTGCTCCCTGTAGTTCCCATCCCTTCATCCCCCCCATCCCCACCCCTGGTTTGCCCAGGAGATCTTTTCTAATTCCCCTTCCCAGGGAAATCCATGTATCCTTTTTTGGCCATCCTTGGTATCTAGACTCTCCAGGGCTAAAGATTGCAGTTTGGTTATCCTATGCTTTACTCCTAATAACCACTCATGAGTGAGTCAATACCATGTTTGTCTTTCTGGGTCTGGGTTGCCTCACTCAGGATGATTTTTTTTCTAGTTCCATCCATTTGCCTGCAAATTCCATGAGGTCATTATTTTTTTACAGCTGAATTGCACTCCACTGTGTAAAGGTACCACATTTCCCTTATCTGCTCCTGGGTTGGGGGGCATCTAGGTCATTTCCAGGTTCTCACTATTGTGAGTAATGCTGTTCTGAACATAGCTGAGAAAATGTTCTTGTGGTATGGGTCTATGTCATACACCCACACACACACACACACACACTGCCATATCTGGAGCTGCCTTTCCTGTTATGATAGATTGTAACTCTGAAACCAGGAACCAAAGTAAATCTCCCCTTCCTTATACTGATTGTTCTCTGCCAGGTGTTGTGGTCACCAAAAAAAAAAAAAAAAGTGCAACTAATATAGAAAGTATCCTGGACCTCCCCAGCAGTCTTCAAATTGGAGAGAGGGAGGCAAATGAGTTATGCCAGGGAAACAGTGCCAATTGG